ATTAAAACAAGACCACTATCTATCACCATACACAAAAATCAACTCTAAATGGATCAAAGACCTACATGTAAAACCTCAAACAATGAAAACCTTAGAAAATGCAGGAGACACCCTTACGGAAATCGGCAACCAATTCCTGATCAAAACACCAAGTGCCCATGCAATAAGAGGTAAGATAGACAAGTGGGACCTCTTCAAACTGACAAGCTTCTGCAAAGCCAAAGAAACCGTCAAGAGAGCAGGGAGACAGCCCACAGACCAGGAAAAAATATTTGCCAATTGTATATCTGACAAAGGCCTAACATCTAGGATCTATAAGGAACTCAAATGTGCCGAAAAGAAAAAAACAAACAGCCCCATTACAAAGTGGGCAAAAGATATAAATAAACACTTCTCAAAAGATGACATACGAGCAGCCAACAGATACATGAAAAAATGCTCAGTCTCACTAATCAAAGAAATGCAATCTAAAACCACACTGAGATACCACCTAACTCCAGTCAGGATGGCCATCAATAATAACTCAAAAAACAATGGATGCTGGAGAGGATGTGGTGAAAGGGGAACACGTTTACACTGGTGGGAGTGTAAACTAGTACAACTTCTGTGGAAAAGAGTGTGGCAATTCCTAAAAGATCTAAAAATCAACCTTCCATATGTCCCCACAATCCCCCTTCTAGGAATATACCTAGAGGAATTCAAATCATTCTATGAAAAAGATACCTGCACACGCATGTTTATTGCAGCACTATTCACAATAGTAAAAACATGGAACCAACCGTGCTGCCATTGAAAGAGAACTGGATAAAATAATATGGTATAATGGAATATTATGCAGCCATAATGAAGGACAAAATTATGAACTTTGCAGCAACTTGGATGGACTTAGAGTCTATAATTCTTTTTTTTTTTTTTTTTTTGAGTTGGAGTCTCACTCCATCGCCCAGACTGGAGAGCAGTGGCCGCTCCCGGCCACCACAGCCTTGACCTGCTGGGCTCCGGCGATCCTTCTGCCTCAGCCTTCCGAGTAGCCAGAATTACAGGCATGCGCTACCACGACCGGCTGATTTTTTGATTTATTGTAGAGATGAGGTCTCGCTGCCCAGGCGGGTCTCGAACCCTGAGTGATCCATCACAGAAACAAAGAACTGAGTATCACATGTTCTCACTCACAAGCGAACCTTGAGCAATTATCATAATACTGTAAGAAAGGGATTGGCAGTAGTGGGAAACTGCCAGGGGGTAGAGAGAGGAGGGATTGGCAGTAGTAGGAAACTGCGGGGGCAGGGGGGGCACACCTCATGAACATTTGTATACCTAACCCTGAATTGTATCCCACATCTTTAAAATGATAAATTAAAACTAACTAAATAAATAAAATCACCATGAGCAATGAATTTTTGAATGTGGAGCTTGCTCCTAGGAAAAATACAGGGTTAGGTTCCTGAGAGCCTCTGGTCATGTTTTTATCTATACAGAATCCTTAAATAAGTAGAATCAACTTTAAAAGTCATTATACAAGTCGGGCTTGGTGGCTGAGCCTGTAATCCCGCACCTTTGGGAGGCTGAGTGGATTGCCTGAGCCCACGGGTTCGAGACCCGCCTGGGCAACTTGGCGAGACCTCATCTCTACATAAATCAAAAATTAGCCAGCTGGTAGCGTGCGCCTGTAGTTCCAGCTACTTGGAAGGCTGAGGCGGAAGGATCGCCAGAGCCCAGCAGGTTGAGGCTGCCGTGGTGCCGTGGTGCCGTGGCCGGGGGCGGCCACTGCACTCCAGTCTGGGCGACAGAGTGAGACTCCAACTCAAATAAATAAATAAATAAACAAATAAACAAACAAATAAATAAAAGTCATTATACAATATATGAACTTTGTGTCTGGCTTCTTTCACTTAGCATGATGTTTTTGAGGTTCATCCGTCTGTAGCATGTGTCGGTATACCATTTCTTTTCATGGCTGGATAACATTCCATTGTATGACCACACACATACACACAAACACACACACACTGTGTTTATCTACTCATCAGTTGATGAATGCTTGGGCTGTTTCTACCTTTTGAGTATTGTGAATAATGCTACTATTTGTGTACAACAGTTGTGTACCATTTTTTGTGTGGACACATTTTTCAAAAGCCAGTATTTTGTCGTAGGGTTTTTACAATTTTATGGGATGCCATTCTGCATAGTTTTATCACCAGATCCTCATATGGTTTAGGGGAAGAGATTAAGTGACAGAATAATTTTTTTAAACATTTAAACATTAAACAGTTGTGGGTTTATTTCAACATGTACTAGAATACTGACTTTTCATCTGTGATAGTAACAGTTGCTTCTTAAAATACATTTAAATAAAATATGCCAGTGTACAGAAGTGTATTAACTAAATGGCAGAGTGGGTGTGGCCATAGTAGAATCATGAAAACAGCATGAGAGTGAGAGTGACTGACACTCGAAACCCCTTCTGCAGTGAAAAAGTACCAGGATTGTGTCGACTCCAAGGGGCCTCAGCTCTGGCCCAACCACAATGGACACCTGGATCTTCATGACACTGCCTTCCACACGGGTTACTTAACATGGAGAGCATCTGACTGTCCAAAGGTATACAACTGCCCCGATTCTTCTCCCACCTGGGATGTTGTGATCTTTATACTCAGAGTCCACTGAGGACAGTGAGAGGCAGCTCCGATTTTCCCAATGACAGAACCAAGGGTCAGGACTGTGCTAAGGACTGGTGAACGCTATAACTTTTTCCTGTTAAGCCCTGACAGCAACCCAAGAGGTCGGCGTTGTAACCATTATGGAGATGAGGACATCTGAGCTCAGCAGGGTAAAGCATGTTTTTGGGTCACAGAGCCAGCGAGAATGTGGGTCTGAGCTCAGGTCTCTCCAGCTCCATGCTGTGATGTGACAGAGAAAGGCACAGGCTGTCAGCAACACACTCATGCTGAAAACATGAGAGATTTAGAAACTATAAACCAGCTAGTTAAACTTTTGGCTATTACTCTAAGAGAAGAGGAAGAAGGAAAAATAAATGATAAAGACAGGATGCAGGGCCCCAGCCAGCAAGCTGAAAAAGAGGTAAAGTTGTGTGAGCCCCAGTGGGAAGTTAGCACATTCCCAGTTGCAACACCCGGACCTGTGTTTCCTGTCTCACCTCAGCTTCAGTGAATCAACAGCAGAGGGTGCCAAGCCTCACTCGGGATTGCCTCCAAAGGGCAGAGTATCTCCTGCCCACCTTCAAACCTCAACTCCACAGCTAGTGGGACAAAAAGATTTGTTTCCTGCATGATGGACAATAGAGCCCACATGCACACCTGCAGTTTACACTGTGCTTCACACCACTGCTCACTCTGTACCACGTGAGCGGATGACCTGGGGTGGCTGAGTCACAGCAAACACACCCTCATGCTTCTGGTCTGGTGAAGATGGATGGGAAACCAGCCCTGAGAGCAACTGATAAAACACGGAAGAAGAAAATAAGAGGACAGCGTGTGAACAGATACAGACATTGAGTGATATGATGGCCAGGGAGTTTCCAGGCAGGGGTAGTGGGTGCAGGCCTCTATCCCAGGACCAGCAAGCAGTGGTGTTGGCCACAGGAAGAAGCAGGGAGAGGACAGAGCAGGGGCACGATGGAGGCTGAGTAAGCGTCACACAGAGGCAGTAAGGGGCCCAGTTCAGCAGCAATCCCATGGGACTTGTGAGGAAGTGAAAGCCCAGGCAGTCCCCTCAGGCCACTGTGAGGAAGTGACAGCTGTGTTGACTTCACAGCATCATCAGCAGGACACCCGGGCTCAGCAAGAACCACAGATGCCGGGCATTCTGATCTTGTGCCAGAGAATCAGTCTGAAGTGAGGTCAGCAGGTCTCCTGCCGTTCCCTCCCATCAACACAACAGAAATGGCTAATATTTACAGAGTATCAACAGGCTGTGTAGCATCACCCTCCGGGTAACTGGGTGGGTGGTGCTATCAGCATTCCCCTTTTGCAAAGCAGGATGCTGAAGTGGAAGAGGCAGAAGGCCTGGCCTGCAGATGGGAACTCTGGTCTGCAGACGGGTAAGCCCAATTCGCCTGCCTCCTGCCCAGCACACTGTTGCTGCTTCCTTTAGTCTCAGCTCAGACTTTCCTCCATAAGCCTCTCTTGACTCTCCCAAAAGAGACTCCTGAGGCATGCAGTAAATCCACAATGGCAGACATGTTGCATTGTGACATTGCTCTGCAACTGTCCCCCCGTGGCTGCTCTGCTCCTTGAAGTGGTCAGCGTTCACCAGGTGCACAGTTGGGTTGCCCAAGAGAGGAGGGACAACCACTTCCAAATCAATTATAAAAATGCCATTTTCCCAATATCAAGCCTCACCTACAGGTGGCTCTAGCCTTCAGTACACTACTTTGAAATGACAAGGTTGAAATGGAGATGGAGAAAAGCAAAAAGTCTAAAATGCAGTTCTGAGATTTGAACAGCATGAGGTCTCCATGAGTTAGCAGCAGGGCTCCCACTCCCTTCAACCATTAACCTCGGTTAGTTATTTATCTTAACCTCAAATGATTCTGTTGTTACTTACAATATCAAAGCAAAGTTAAGTCTTCAGAGCCAAAAGTTAACAGAAGTTGTAATTTAAAGCTGTCATTTTTTTCCTAATCCTAAAGAGATGGTGAAAAATACATACTAGTAACTGCCAGTTTCATCCTTAGGCTACTGACAAGTGACTCCTCATTACTAAATTCACTTGCTTCTAATTAGAATACTGAAAGTATCAATATTACTTTTTCCTCAGTATTTACAAGTCAGAGGTCAACACTGTTTAAGGTAGAAAGTGCAGTTTACATATTTTAAGGTTTTCGATAAATTAATGTTGGCCAAATTTTAATTTCTTTAATCTTCTACCAGAGGCTAGAAAACAGAATCACATGAGCCCATAATGACAGACAAAACTGGACATTGCATTTGATTTTTAAATGGCTGCTGAACAAGGCCAGCGCTCAGCTCTCTCCGTACCTCGTTTCTGAATGAAGACCCTGAGCAGAGGATTTGCACTGGAGACTGCCTTGCAGAAGTTGTCATCATTGTTGATGGGCAGCAGATCCCCATGCACATCTGCGTAGCCGATGGTTACTTCACTGCTGGAGATACGGTGGGTGTGCACAACCAACTTGTAGAAATCTTCAAACTTCCCAGGCTTATGACGGTTCAGGGAGAATCTTCGAAATTCTGCCCCAAACTACAAAGCAAAATATGGGGTTGGGGTTAATAAACATAAGACGTAAAGAGCCAGAAGTAAGTGTGGTTAGTTTACTTAATAAACAAATATGTATATACCACATTTTCCTTATCCAATCATTCTTTGATGGACAGATAAGTTGATTCCACATCCTTGCTATTGTGAATTGTGCTGTGACAAATGTAAGAGTGCAAATATATTTTTAAGTAATAATTTCTTTTCTTTTGGGTAGATATCCAGTAGTGACTAATGTTTACAGAAAACTGTCATTATATTAGCTAGACATTATGTCAATGAGTCGGGGCAAATAATCTAAAATTATACAGGTTTGTGACAGAATCACCTAGTCCTGGATTTGGCAGTGTTGGGGTATGGCCCAAGAATTTGTATTGTTAACAAGTTCCTAGAAGAAGCTGATGCTATAGGTCTGGGAACTACAAGGAGAACCACTGCTTTTAAGGGATTCAGCCACCAGACCTCAACTTTCACAGATCCTCTTGTGAAACAATTTGCCTGAGAACAAATCTCCTTTCCCGCCTTCCTTTCAAAAAAGCACATTCCTCAGGTTAAAGCAAAACAAACCTCTCATCCACCCTGCATTGCTCCCAGGAATAAAACAACAACAACAACTCCAAGGCACACAACCATGAAATAGTTCAAAATACTGGTTCAGGAAAATGCCACCTTCGATGACTAATTAAAACCCCTCAAAACTGCTTTCTACATACTCAGGAAAAGAAGAAGCATGACCCCAGAAGCTGGTGTCTGGTCAAAGTTACATTCTTTAAATATAGCTTATCCTAGAAGGGCCAGACACCAGCATGTGGGCATGCAGACTCTTTTCACACAGAGGCTGCAAAACTTGAAGACACAAGACTTAAAGCCTACAGTATAAGTTTCAAGAAATTTCTTTCAGACCCAGTTTCCAATCAAATTGCTAAGTGTTTATCTCACTAACATCAACCCTCTTTCCCTTTTTATATAGCTCACACATGCTGACTTTCAAAGCAATTGGTTTTTGTCAGTACATAGCTTTTTCACTAAACATATAAAAGAATAATTAAAACTAGTGTGAGCATTTCTTCCTTCTATATATAATTTTCACTTGAGTAGCCCCCCAAGGGGACATATAAGCACTCACATTCACCTAAGGAACATCAGGCCTCCCCTGGAAACAACATACGTTAAATGTGAGTCTCTCAATGTTTGAATTGTTACTGCATTTAGTAACTAATCTAAGATGCAACTCAATTCCTCAGTACTTTTATTTTTTCTCAAAATATGTCTTAGCATGTAAAGTTGAGATGAAAAATGAATTCAGACTTTTTCCTGAGAAAAAGCAAGACTGATGTGTGTTTGAAAATGAGGCTGGCTTTGCCAACCCAGCTACAGGGTGAGTATGCTTCATATGTTGAGTGAGCTTAAACATTTTGACAAAAAGAGATGTGAAATGTGATATGAGAAAAGCATTTTATTTAAAAAATATTGGTATGGGGTACTAAATTAATATTTTTATTTCCCCACTGTATCAGATTAAACAAGAGGGCTCCAAATGAAGCAATTAGGAGGTGCAATTCATTGTATAATTCTTGGTAAATAAAACCTCTTTTTAGAGTACTTACTAGAACTTGAAACAGTGAATAGCAGTAATGACCAGGCAATAAATCGTGAAAGTTAAGTAGTTTCCAATTTACTTTCAACAAAATTAAAAGTTGTCCTAATTGAAATGTCAGCTAATTATCAAAATAATTATAATGATAGACCACTGCAGATTGTTTCTTTTTGGCACATGACCTGGTGAGAGTTCAAAGAGTTTGAGGCCTGCCCGGGGAACCCTCACTCCCACTGACCAGCGTGTGTAAATAAAGTCTCACAACATGGATATCAACAATAAATAGCAAAAGAACTGATGCCACCCTCCTCATTTAGCAATAAACACATTTTGTTAATGAAGGATTTTTTCAATGTGCATTTTGGATGTCTAATAATTATCAAATCTCACAACTATCTTTCAATAATTTGGTAATAACTATCACAACTCAATCTAGAAAATTTTTTACTGTAAAAAAAGTCTTTCTCTCTCTCTCATCATAGTTTTGACTGCCTTCAGGAAGACAGAGCTCTGAGAAGTGCTTCTCGAATGAATAATAGCTGGAAGCCAGTTGCAATAAAAGTAGTATGCCATTGAGTAAACCATGTTACTGATAAAGTTCTTGGCCAAGAAACAAGGAGACAAAAAGATGGGAGAAACCCAAGATAGCTAAGAGCTTGAGAAGCATGGCAGGAAATTACTGTTTTAAGAGCAACGGAAAAGTAAGGAACTGCAAAACTCCACTCATCCATAAAAACAAGAACACTGGCAAAATGGTCAAAATCAATTTCTGGAAACTAACCAACAGGTTACAACAATCCAATAAGTGTTTATTCCAGAAAAACAGCTGAATCTCAGTAAGAACAGAAAGTTTTGCAGTATTTTAGCATCCTACCCACCTCTTCTCAGCTGTGAAAAAACACAGCCTCATTGCCTGGGAGAAGGCAGAACCAGCTGAGGTCTCCAAATGCTCCATGCTCAGAGGACTGTCATTGTCAGACCTGTCTTGCAGCTCCTGGAAAAGCCCTATTCACAGGGTCAGAGGTCACAGGGTGGGAAAAGCCCTTTCTTCAAGGGCATTTGTGGAGAACAGTCAGCATCAATTGTTCAGCATTTAAACTGTTTACAGATCTTATGATAAAATGGGTTTTTTTTTTCCATGAGTGAGACTTATTTTCTTAATAGGACCAACATATGTTATATACAAAGCTAATCTTTAAATAAGTATAAACAAATAATGTCATCACATACTCTCAGCCAATTTTGTATCTCCTGCCAAATACAAAACATTTACTTTAATTAACTTAAAGTGAGTAATTGTGTCTCTTGCTAGATACAAAACATTTTAATAAACTTCAAGTGAGTAATTTGCCTAAAACCACTGAAAGTGGGGATGCTTTCAAAGTAGCTGCATATCTGATATGATTGGCAAAATCTCCCCACCTTCCATCCCCACCCACACATGATATTAGTCATTCCTTTGAGTCAATATGAAGGCCTTGTTAAAATTAAAATATTATCTAGTAACAGACATATTCAGTTATTAACATTTAGCTCAAATTAGTTGATTTGTGAAAGAGACCTAGAAGCAGTCAGTTTTTCTTAAAACTGTCCTTTGCAACTATTTATATTTCTTGTGAGAAAATTTAGATGCCAACTTAAAAATACATCATTCCCTTTACACCTGTAGTTCTTAAAATTATTTTAGAGGGTACGCAATGCTTGAAGACTGCTACACTAGAGTATAGGGGTTACTATGAAAGTGACTGAGGCATGGTTACCAGCTAGGGCAAATAAGAACTAGACAAACACATTTAAAAGAAATGCTGGGGGTGCACACCCATTAGGATGGCTACTACCAAAAGCCAGAAAATTGTAAGTGTTGATGAGGGTATGCTGAAATCGGAACCCTTGTGCACTACTGATGGGAATATAAGATGGTGTAGCTGCTGTGAAAAATAGTATGATGATTTCTCAAAAAATTTTTTTCTTTTTTTTGTATGGGTCGGAATCTCACTCTGTCACCCAAGCTGGAGTGCAGTGGTATGCTCATGGCCACCGCAGCCTTGACCTACTGGGCTCAGGCGATCCTTCTGCCTCAGCCTTCCGAGTAGCTGGAACCATAGGCATATGCCACCACTCCAGGCTAATTTTTTGATTTATTGTTGAGTTCTCACCAAGTTGCCCAGGCTGGCCTCAAATCCCCAGGATCAGGCAAACCTCTCACTTCTGCCTCCCAAAGTGCTGGGATTACAGTCATGGGCCATCGTGTCCAGCTTCTCAAAAAATTAAAAATAGAATTACCATATGAACCAACAATTCCACTTCTGGGTATACAACTAAAAGAACTGAAAGCTGGATCTTGAAGAAATATCCGTACACCTGCATTCACTGCAGGATCATGCACAGTAGCTAAAATGTGGAAGCAACTCAAGTGTTCATCAGTGGAGGAAAGACCAAACAAAATGTGACATACACATATAATGGAATATTATTCACCTTAAAAAGGAAGGAATTTCTGACATGTTACTACATGGATGACCCTCGAGACGTTATGCTGAGTGAAACAAGTCAATCACAGAGGCCAAATACTTACGATTCCACTTATATGAGGTACCTAGAGTACTCAAAGTCAGAGATAGAAAGCAGTATGGTGGGAGCCAGGGGTTGGGGATAGAGGAATGAGGAGTTACTGTTTAATGAGTATAGAGTTTCAGCTTAGTAGAATGAAAAGAAGTCTGAAGATGGATGATGGTAATGGTGGTACAACAATATTAATATACAGGAGGTCCTCAATTAATGTTTCATTTAATGTCATCTTGTTATAACACTGATGATTAAAAAAAAATCAATTCCTGGCCAGGACCACTGTCTGTGTGGAGTTTGGAGGGTCTCCTCACATCTACATGGGTTTTCTCCAGATATCCCAGTTTTCTCTCACATCCCAAAGACATGAACATTAGGTAAATCAGCATGACTAAATTGTCCAAGTAGGCGTGAGTGTGGGTATGTGTGAGTGTGCCCTATGTTGGAATAGTATCCTGTCCAGAGTTGGTTTACTGCATCATGCCCTGAGATTCTAGAATAGGCTCTAGTCACACACAACCTTAAACTGGAATACAAGAGTTGGAAAACGAATACAAATTATTGTACATAAAAATCTGTAATCAAACAAATGCATGACAATAAGTGATGCAGTATGAAAGTGTTCCTCAAGTCTGCCACATTTGTTCCTGTTAGTCTTTGAGCCGTGTGGTGGCAGAGGTGCTATTTACAGTTTTCACTTTACAAACAGTCATTCCTTGGTTTAACATACAACCACTGATTCACCAAAAATTGGGTAAATAATTACCTTACTTGTTTTTATTAATTTTTCTTAAGTGTTATGTATAGCTTATATTTACTTCAA